AAAACCCAAAGTGTTTGTTTTATGATTTCCCTGAATGAATATCATTATGTGAGATTACCACCAGAGAGTTGGATTTAGAATATTTAATTTACAAAAGTTTATCCATAATCTAAAATTAGCTGAGTTTGAATAAATTTCAGTATTAAATCTGGAAAGTTTTAATCTAATACTCTCATTAATTTTTATTACAAATATGTATTAGTATAATCTTATCTGATAAAATTTTATTCTTTATTAAGCTCAAATTAATCATGAACAGAATTATTTACCCAGTAAAATACAGATCTAATTCACAGAAGTAAGGCAACAACTCTGGGAAAGATGAAGCAAGTTTTTGAAAAGTTAACACAGTATAATTTTATTATTTTATTCTTGGTTTCAATAGAATAGAGAACTTAATAAGCATGGAAAAGCAAATACCTCATTAAGTACTTTAGATTTGTCTTTTGATCCAATTTTATTTTTTGGATTTCATGACAAGGAAATGTCATAAAGTGAGCTCTTCAGTGTACCATACTTGCTTGTGAGGATCTCCAACACGTACACCTCATATCATGTACTGAGGTCAAACATAAAGTAACTTAAATGTTTCTTTAACTGTCTAACTATAACTTAATAGTACTTTCATCCACATCTGATGTTTGTGCCATACTCAAATGGAAGCTCTTCTTTCACATTGTGTTTGTTCTCTTTCTTAAATAGTATAAATTAGGAAACCTAAGAATCTATTCTCATTTGAGGCAGAGCATAAATGCTTTGTTGATTGATTTATTCCTCTTAAGCCCCTTAATAATTCAATTATTGGTTAATTGCTTTTTAATATTCTTTTAAAAATATTTCCCAGAAATGTAATTTGTATTGGTACAAATTATATCTTTTATATTGTTAAGATTATTAAGTCCAAGAAAATAAAGAAATATTCAGGGTTGAAATATTCTCATTGTTCCTTGATAATGCTAACAACTTTTTTAGAAAATGGTGTGAGTTTTATATGATAGTAGTGGAATTTTTATCTCTTAACAATATTTTTAGTTTAGTTTTACAAACTTTTGAATTGAAAGGAAACATTAAATTAATCTTCCTTAACTTAAAATACATTTAATGGATTTAGGGTAACCTAAATAAAACTGTTAACATTCCATAATAGCAAACAGGAAATAATCAAAACAAAATCTCAATGTTATTTTTGAAAATGAAATCGTAATTTTTAAAAAAAATGGTAAAAGACCGGACTATCTGATTTGCTGTTATTTACAACAACATTTGACATATTTTAAATTTAATTAATTAAGAAATTACACTGCAAGAGAAAAGTTTAAGGGCCTTTTATGTAACTTATTACAATGCTCTTTGAGATTGCCAACAAACTCTTAAAACTCCTGGACACTGGCTCTCTTCTCTTCTGGCTTCCCTCCTAGTCATGTCTTGGCTACTATCCAGAGCTGACAACTTTCACCAGGAGCAAAGGGATATTTGTCTAGTATAAGAAGGATTTTTGAGTCATCCCATATCCAGATGGGCAAGGAGGAAGGGTGGCAATATTGTATATACTTGGGTGATGTCATTTTGCCACACATGTACTATAACCATTATTTTGTTCATAGTAGTGAATTCTGAATGTCCTTACTCAAATGTTCTTTATTAGAAACTATAAACTTCAAAGTTATTGAAAAATTATGTTCAGATTTATGTTTGAACAAATGCCTTTACTTCTTCATTTCCAACTATATACTTAAGACCAGAGAGGTTTTGCATCTTTACTAATAACATAAAAACACTTAGAAGCTGTTAGGGTGAAAAGATAGAAGTTCCAGTTTCCAAGGCCTCTGCTCCAATCATTATGCTAAAGCTTTCTTAACACTACTGGTTATATTTTGACAAAATGTTATCCACAATGTATTCCTGCTAAACTGAATTATAATTATTATGATTTTAAGGATTTTCTTAAGTTGTTAATTTTAGATTCATTTACGTAAATTTACCTTTCTTTATTTATTTAGAGGCCCATTTAGTGTTTATATTATGATTTGAGACCTTTTGACAAGAATGGTTTTAAGGTAGGATTATATTAATAGACCATATTCCTTATGAATCTTGGACATACAGAAGTTATCTGTAATATATTTTTTTAACTTAAAAAATGTACATGTACATACCCAGATATCTTTTGGGTTCCTATGAATAACTAGAAGTTTGAGTGAATTTATCATAAAAATTAAGATTATCTGAGTCAGTAAACTTAAATAAACTTAAATGTCATAGTTACATTTATTTAATTTTTAATTTCCTTTGCTTTTTATTCTATAAATGTGTTTCAGATTCCTGCACAATTTTCACAATTAATCTGTCCGGCCACATTGTATAAACTGTATTGCAAAATAACTATGCAGAAAGCAATAAAGTTACTGTTAAGGGTAAATTATTTTATGATAATAGCATGATTAAAAGTTTATCTTGTTCTAAAACTACATGAAAGCTTTTAAAATAGAATTTAGTTTGTAGTAAATAACTATGATATGAATCTGAAATATAATAAATAAAACATGAATGAGTTTCTGAGACATTTTGAACTCTAGTTTGTACATGCCTTTCATATCTGGAATTCATTTGTTTTCTTCTTCAAAGTGTATAGTTGATATTTTATCACCCATAGACTCTATTAAAAAGACTTACAAAGCAGATAAATATTACAAGTTGTTAATAGTTTATTAATTTTAGGCATAAATGAAAGAAAGAAACAAATGTCAGGTTAGCCATTTAAATACACAGTACCTTGCTTATATACTACTAGGATGGATATCAATCCCATTATACTTTATATTTATAATTTCTATTATTCATATAGTTGAGAAGGCCCTAGTTGATATCATTGAAATCTAGCATAGTTCTAAAAAAAATTGTTTTTTACTATTTTAGATTCAGATATTTAGACACAAAGGTTTAGTCTTTTCTTTATAGATAAAAGTAAATCTGACCTTTTTGATTAAGAAATATTGTCAGTAGCCTTTATAAGTGCTTGATCATCTGAGGGTCCATAACAGGAGTACTCTTCACAGTTGAATTTATACTAAAAATAAAATGATAAGATCCTGCTGGTTATTATCCAAGATTCTTCTTGATGGGGAAACCACATGGTTTTTCTTCATCTCCCACTTGTTCTCACCCTTTACTACCAACCCAGCCACACCCCACCCCCACCCCAACATTGTTCAGTACTCAGCACAATGAATCATTTTCAAGTTGACTCATTGTGAACTGTCTCCCAGCTGTTGGAATGTCTGGCAGACATTTTTGTTTGGGTGAAGAATAACTGGCTGAAACCCAACCTGGATGAGTTTGATATAATGGTCTTTGGCTAAAGAAATATTGAGAGGAACATGTTTATGGCCTCTGAAGCTCCTGTTATTCCTGGAGTAGGACCATCCCCTGTGGCACAGAACTGAAAGTAAGGAATCAATCTGGATTATTTTCTCACCATTGAATGAAAAATTGCCTTAGAAAAAAATAGCATTTCCAAGTCATGTTTGTTTTTCTACTTCGTGTGCCCACATGATTGAAAGTATTAAAGATGATTAAGAAAAATTATTTTTAATGGTCCTTTTTAAGAACACCGGTTCAAGGTCCAAAACATACTTCATGTAACACCCGTTTCTTCCTAAGGAGGAGTTTCAAATACTGCTCTAGGTGTGTAGTTTGTCATCTTTCAAACAAAATGTTTGGTGACACAGACTACTCTGCATTTCATACTAAGTCAGGTAGCATTGACCTTCCTCCTTTTATTTTGCATTCTTATACAATCCTTTTAAAGGGAGTTAAGAACCAGTAATACCAGTAAACTCAGTAGTCATTTGTGTTTTCAGAAAATAAAAATCTTTTATTATATTTGACCTTTTCTCCAAAAGAGGATATAGCATGAAACTGATAAATTTTCTTGATTGTTTTACATTTCCCATTCTTTTCTTGAAAGCTCATTTCTAACTGGTTGACATTACCAATTTATAAAATAGGAATTTCAAAATTACAGAATTTCACATACAGCAATGTTTTGATATAGATTTTATACTAAATATTTTTCTAAGGTGATATAGCACATAATAACAATTTTCTGAACTATTACACCAACAGAGCTAGAAGGAATACTGGATTTCCATTAAACAAAATAATGTTTTTTTAAAATCCTACTGGGTATTTGATGACTTTATTTGTATAGCCATGAATTTCTGGTTATTTTAGGAATGTTTACTGCTTACTGACTGATCCGTACTATATTTAGAAACATATTAATGTATTATTTTAATCTTGTAAAATGCAAGATTTCTCAAGATGTGTAGTTTAGCAGTATTTCATCTGCAGTCATATTGGGAAAGAATGAGTAGGCTATAGGTCTAAATGCTAGTCACCTACCATCTTTTCTTTGCCTTTATTGTTATCCCAGAGCCAAATGACAGCATCTGGAAAGAGAAAACAGAAGACTCCAGAGCTAGCCATGTTGCAGCCTCTTAGCCGGACCCTTCCATATTTCTAATATGTCACAGAGAACCTCAGCTGTTATATAGGACTGAGACCTAATCCCAGCTGACAGCCGACAGGGGACTCTTGCCTTAATACTTTATACTGTGCTATCTACTGTTTCTGAATCCTATTGTCTGCCAGATTTTCCAAAGGACACTGGGTGAAATAATTTGAAAAATAACAGTATATGAGAATAAAAGTACCCCTGCCCTTAAAACAAATAAACAATTTGTAATTTATGTTTTCTATCAATTTATGTTTTACTCTCAGTTCTTCAAATTAGAATAGCATACCTATCTGGGTCAGAGTTTTCGATTAAGAGCATATTTTGGTCCAATTTTTAGCCTAAAGTAGTTTTAATTTTTAATTTATTTCTCTATGTTGACATTCTGTCTCCACAACAATTTATCATTGAGTTGGCATTGTGGCACTGTGTAAGTTTTACATGTTTAAGCATAAAATGAATGTTTCATTTCTTTGTTTTACAGAATAAAGCAATTATTTCCCGTGTTACAAACTTGTCAGATACAGTGGTTGGTCTGGAATCTTTTATTGGTTCTGAGAGAGAAACCAACCCATTATATAAAGATTATCATGGTAAGCAGCACCTTTTTAATGAGAAGAGCATGTCCTGGGTGCTTCTAGAGTACCTGGAAGAATTCTCCTGTTCAGTCAGAATATCTACTATAAAGTAGCATGAATTTTCTTTTATAATATAGCTACTAAATATTTTCTGTTATTGGCAAATCTTCCATGGCAACTTGTCATCAAACCGCAGTAAGACTAGAGACTATGAAAACTATTTGAAAGGAGTCAAACCCAAGGTCTAAAGCATCTCTTAGATAAACATTTCATTGTTTCAGTGGCTTAAAGTTGCCATGATATCATTCATACTAATTAGCCATGTTCCAAATAAATATGTTAATTCTAATTAACAGCTGAAGTATCCCTGAGCCAAAAGTCCAAAATCTGAAATGCTCCAAAATCTGAAACACTTCTGGTCCCAGGCATTCAAATAACTGTAACAACTCAGTTTAGCAGTTTAGCGGTATGTAAGAAGATAATACTGTATTACCACTTCGGGTTTTTTTGGTGGGGAGTGGTACTGGGAATTGAACTCTGGGACACTCAACCACTGAGTCACATCCCCAGCCCTATTTTGTATTTCATTGTCTCACTGAGTTACTTAAGACCTTGCTAAATTGCTAAGGCTGGATTTGAACTTGCAATCCTCCTGCCTCAGCCTCCCGAGGCACTGGGATTACAGGCGTGCACCACCACGCCCGGCTGTGTTACCACTTTGGTATAAGAACAGGTGAATTCATCAAACTATTTTTAAAACTTTTGTTTTATTTTTTGTTTTTGGAGCTAGGGATTAAACCCAGGGCTTTGTGCATGCTAAGTGTTCTCTCTTCCACTGAGCTACACCCCAGCCCCTATATTTTAGTCATTTGGTTAGTTGAGGAATTTTTTATAAAGATTTTTATACAGAACCATTGAATATTAAAGTTTAGTAGTTATGTATGTCTTGGGTCTCAAATCAATATAAAATGTAGTGAATAACAGATTTTTACTTATTTATATACTCTAAATATATATAAAGTATTGCTATTATTATTGTGGAACTACTGTGTTTCCGTAGAAACCTCTACTGTATAGACTCACTAGTTTATTTAAAATCTACAATTTTGATTTAGTCAGATAGTGGCAGTTTTTTGTTGAAACCAACATGCTAGAGTCTCCAAAAATGTATTAAAAATTATAAGATAGTTTATATAATTGACTAGTGCTTTAAGGACTCAGCATACACCCTTTTAAAATGTAATAAAAAGCATAAACTAATAATCAGGCATTTTTAAAAAAAAATTTAGTTATAGATGGACACAATACCTTTATTTTATTTATTTATTTTTTTGTGGTGCTGAGGATTGAACCCAGTGTCTCCTACATGTGAGGCAAGCACTCTGCCACTGAGTCACAATCCCAGCCCTAATCAGGTATTTTTTAAAGCTGGAAAATGTAATGTGTGAACAAAAGCTACTGTAAGATAATTTGCCTCTTGTTTATTTATATGCATATGGCATATGCCCAGATTAAACTTATTTATGATGCATTTAATATATAATTTTCACTATTATAGGAAGAGATCTATTAAGATTTGACTAGTTTTAATTTGTTATGATTTATGAGTATTATTAGCTTATGAATTTATTGAAATTGTATTTTATAATAAAAAATATTAGTTTGATTGAAACATTTCATTGAAAGGTTGTATTTTTTGTACTGAAATCTCTGAATTGATACATTATTCCCCACAAAGTATTTAAATGAGTATTTCTGATGACTAATAAAATTTCTGTTAATAAGAAAGATCTGATGATAAAATAATTCATTCTGTAAGTTTTCCTGTTTTAATAACAAAACAAGCACATGTAAATTAAAATAAGAAATGTGCAAATAAAAGTATGGTGTGCTTATTTCTAATAAGTGTATTTTACTAAATTGCTATGTATATTTTTAACTTGTAGCTAAAGGCTATTTTCTTAATAACATCTTTTAAATTGTTTTTAAGTTTGGAAAATTCAGTAAGATATTTTAGTCAGTTACTACTGAAGGGGTTGTTTATGAGGTTAAGCATCTGGAGGTTTACCCTTTCTAGCTAAAACTAATACATTACAATTCATTCAAATACACACATAAAACCTTGTACTGGAGAAGTGGTTCAATAAATAATATTTATCTATTTGTTTAAATCTGGAATTTGCCTCACTGCCACCCCCAAATTCAGGCATCACTGTCCTTGGGATGGTGATTTTTAAATATGAACTGAGTCAGGCAGAAAGATGCACTGAAGAATCTTCCATGTCTTCATCTGTGGGAAATGACCCCTAGTTTAGTCAGAAACTACATTAGGCTGCACAAAAGCCATCCAATACCCTTGTCAGAAAAAATTAGCAAGTATTTCTACTGACAAGAACCCAAAGCTCAAGGTTTACCTAGCACTGTTTCAAAGCTTATAACAGTCACATAAAGGTCTAACATGCCACAGAAATGAGTGTCTTGGGATGGTATAGGGGTTAATGTTTGATCCTAGAGTATGTTCTGAAATGTAGTTTTCTTCAATGGTTTGTTCAAGTCATTAATGAGGTACAAAACGAAATACTTTTTATTAGTGCTTCACTGGTTATCAGTAACCCATAAGCCTTGTTTTGCTGGCTGCTTACTGGTGCATTTAATAAAATAAAGATCACTCAGTGGTGCCGTGGGCAGCATGCAAGGTGATAGCCATATTTGCTTACTGTAAATACAAGAGAAAATCACACACAAACCGGCTGTAGTTTTGACAAGTATTAAGATCCCTCTTTACATCTGTACTTCTGTACCAAAGTGCAATTAGTTTTCCTCGCACAAGGATTTCTGTTTATCTTATTCTGCTTGATTACTTGAGTATAATCACACCATTTGCTTCATTGCTCCTGGTAGTAAGCTCCAGTTTTAAAAGGGGAGGATGCTTGTGTGTAAATTTACAGGATTCTGCTGTAAGACTCTTTAATTTATGCATCTGGTGACAGTTTTTAAATTTTTTTTCTTTTAATTTCTTTTCTATAAGGTTTGATTCATATTCGGCAAATTCCTCGGCTTAATAACTTGATTTGTGATGAATCAGATGTCAAAGACTTAGCTTTTAAATTAAAAAGGAAGCTATTCACCATTGAGGTAAGAGAAATTTTATATTTTAGTTCACAGTCTTGAGGTAAATGATATCCTCCTCCTTTTTTAAAATTATTTTTACACTTTAATAAAATTTCTAAGATATGTTTCATGTTAAATATTAAGTTATTTTGATGTAACAAAATAGTTTACTATCCTTTTATTTTAATGATGTATCATTAGAGTATAGCAAAAGTGATTTTGTTTTACATGTCTGTTAAAAGTAAGCTCCAAACTTACGTGATAAATATGATATGTATATTTCCAAGGCTTTCAAAGGCATATTTAATTAAATGTTAATGAGCTGTGCTACTGTGTGTGGAATGTGAATACTACTCACATTGTGTATGGATAAGAAAGAGAATTCTTATCTATATTCTAAAAGCATTTTTCTTTACTGTTAGTGAAATTACCTTTCACTTTACATGCTGAATTAAACAAAGTATAATTTACACTACTGGCTTTAAGCAAATTTTCTACAACACTTAAAAACTTTTTTTGTGACCTTTATGCAAGCAATGATGACAGAAAGCAGTAGCACAAAAGATTTATTTCAACTTAATCTTGCTAAAGAGCAAATGAACATAGAACTATTAAGCAATTAGAGTTGATGTTTTTATTAACGAAGTAAATGTTCAGAGAGAGATGGCTTTTGGGTGATGTGATAGTTATCAGTATAGTGCAATTTTTTTTTTTTTTTTAACAAAGACATAAAACAGCCTAGCAGCCTTGACAAACCATTTTGTTTAATCTCTTTTCAAATGAAAAGCTCTTAAGCAGGCCACTTGTCTTAACTGCTTGAAACCATAAAAAGAGAGAATTGCCACCAATAAATTAGCATATTTTTAACTTCATCACCAAATGATGGTCAATGTGGCTTGGCACTGCTTTGGTGTTTGGGACTTCACCCTTAAGTGACCACTTTGGCCCTTTTTTGACCCTCTGCCCTCTTTAAGCTGGCCACTTGATAAGGTAACTTAATGGTTCTCTCTCTTTTTCTTTTTCCCTTTCCATTTGCAAGTAGCACTAACCTATAAATCATTGTAAAGGCCCTATCCAGTGACAAATTAATGTGCCCTCCCCCTAATTAATGGTCATCAATGTCCTTAATTATCTAATCCTATTGAGAGCAGTTAATAGTTAATCAGGCAGCCAGTTCTTCAAGCAGGTCATCTCTGCAGGAGTGTTAGAAGTTTCTCATCTGGGGACACTCCCTTCAAAAGCCACTTAAAGCCAAAAGAGTGAGAGTGTAGAAATAGTGATTCTTGAGCTAATTTGCTTTAGTTCTCAAAAGAAACCATTGAAATGGAACCCAACACTGTAATTGTTCAAACATTGTTTCAGCTTTTCTAGTAGAATACTGAGTAATTTACCATTATATTGCTTAAAACTTTAGAGGTATAAATTTATAGCTTATTGTTCCAAGGAAAGCAGGCTTATCATTTTATTTTAAGTGGAGTTTATATTTTAAATGAAATATGTAAATTGCACCCTTTTCCCCAAAATCAAAATTCTGTCAACCAAATCTAGGTATCATTTCTATTATTATCAAAATTAAGCAAGGTGATTCCCCAATGAAAACAATTATTGTGCTCAAAGATTAAAGTAGTACAGTATATGAATCATATTTATAATCTCTCTTCCTCTTTTTTTTTTTTTTTTTTTTTTTTGGAGAGTTGGGAAGGAAGAGAAATGATGGACTTACATAATGTCAAGTGGAACCTCTTCTTTGAATAACTAGGTTCTAGTAGAGACTGCACTTTACCATTAGAGCTGTTGAGAGATCTTTTATTAACCACACAAGTTTACATTCCTATTTTCTTTTTTCTTCTTCTCACTTTACTAAATTCAGAGAGCCATTATAATTGGTCACCCTGTGCTTTGGAAGCAATATTATAAAACATTGTTTTTTAAGAAGTGAATATTCAAAACAATTGATCAGATCCTTTGCCTTTTGGCTTATAACCTAATCAGAAAATAATTTTGGGTTTTCTTAATAGAAATATAGGTGAAACCCATTCTATATAACTTATTTACTTATGCTATAATATTAAATTTGGTTATTAGAAAAATATAAAGAATCTAACAAACTTAAGTACATGTAGGTGTAATTCAAACAGAATAAAAGCATGTAGTTTATCTAAAATTAAGTGCTTTCAGTATAGCATTATGCATTATAAAATGCATACCCAAACAGATAGCAAGTCTTTAGGGATATATTATAGAAACTAGAAACAAAAGTAGACATTACCTGGAAGTAATTAGTTCAAGGATTCCTTTATTAGGAGAAAAATCATCAATCGTGTGCCAATGTTTTAGTATATACAACAAATCCATTTTTTTCAATAGCCTGATGCTTTAAAAACATAATTTCATACTAGCTTGTAAAATCTGAGACTATAATATACCAGACATTATATCTGAGTCTTCTTTCAGAAGCAAAAGGTGGTGCTTTGGCAGGTAAAGTAAAAATAGCTTTTCTGATTTCATGTTGGCAGATTTGTTACATATTGAAATTAATTCTTCTTTACATGGTCTCAAAAAGGAACATAGTTTGAGATACAGAACAAAAGAAACAGGCCAACACCCTTATCCATATTTTTAGGGTACTTTTTTATTTAGTCATTGCCCTTTTTATGTATGAAAACTGATTAATATTTTTTACTAACAACTACTAGGTCTTTTAGCAGATAAAACAACTTTAATAGTCTCTAATTTATTTGAGTGATTTGAAGAAGTCAAAAGAATATTTTTTCCTTCTTGGAGTATGTATTGGTATTATCCAGAAAAGTGGAAACATTTATCTAACCACAATAAATTATTACTGACACCTATAACTATAAAACTGTGTAAATTAGCACCATCTATAAAAACCATAGCATAATCATATCTATACTAATAACACTAAAATCCTAGTATGTATTCTAGGTAAGTATTCACCAAAGAACTAAGAATAGGATCATTTACAAGCAGGTGTACAATCTTTGTTGAAATATACACACTGTAGAGAAATTATAAATAGGGATTTTAACCAAATAATGCAGCTGTAAATATTATATAAGCGCCACTGGTTAAGTGACCCATGCATACTGCCTTCACAGTTACTACTTGATATATAGTTTCATTTCTGAGGTGAAATTAATGGCTTAAACTTGCATTATTTTAGTTTCTGTGATTATTTTGCTTCTTTAATGTGATTATCATAAGCTAATTTTTTCTTACATTATAATTATGATATAGTTATAATACATAAACAAGTAAGATTTGGTAGAATTTGAAATATGGCTGCTATTTGATTATATAAAAGCAGAATTTTCACTTGCATTTAATATTATTTTGTTATTTTGATGTGTTTTGAGCTTCTACATTCTATAAATATAATTTTCTAATGTGAATGATAATGTATTATTAGTTGCAACATCTATAAGTTTATTACAAAGAGGGTTTCTACTTACGGGAAAGTTTTTCAGCTATAAGAATCAGTGTTTTTAAGTTCAAGTCAGAGTACGATCACTGGGATATGCCAAAAAGTACAAGATATATATCATTTACTAAAAACTTACAGTATGTGGATTAACAATATTCAGTCTTGAATTGTCCCAGAAGTAGTAAGTATCATAAATAATGCCTATGTGGATCTTGTAGACTAGATGAATATTGAGAGCAGAAAATGTCAAAGTGTACCAAGTTTTTTCAGGGTGGCCTTATGATACTTTGTACTTAATTCAGAATACAGATCTCAGTACCATTCCAATCACCAGGAATTTTTTTCTTAAGTATTAAGACCAGAATCATGGGTGACACTGGTATGAATTAGCTTTTCTTTGATGCTATCACATAACTTGATATGACTACAGAATTATTTGAAATTTTTACATTTTGGAAAAGTATAAATTCTTGTAAACTACTAAACACTATGAAAATGCTTAGCAAATTGAGTTGTTTGTTGCTTAATACTTTAGTCTTAGGTTTACTTTCTTCTCTACATTTATTTTCAATAGTCTTTCCAATTTTTAAATGAGAAGTAAGAGGGTGAATATATGTTTAGTATATCTAGAGATGGGGAGAGGAAGAGTTAATTTGCTTGTCAATTCACAGTTATGTCACTAAGTATAATAATGGAAAACTAAATGTCAGACTTAGAAGCCTTATTATAAGTAGGACCATCATGGGCCATATAGTCTAATATACTTTGTCTGATAATGATGCCCATCAGAAATATTGGTTTCTTTTTAAGTTAGTTTTTATTCCAGTTAGCCAAAAATAAATGTAAAAAATCAAAGTTCAACATAATAGGCATCTATACATTTTTGTGAAACATAAATGAACATTCTTCAACAATCAAGTGTAATTTCCTATCTGTTCACATTTTAATATTTATTATATTACTATGCCCATTCATACTTTAATTCCTGAGAGAGACATATAGCAGTATCCTATATATTTTACATTCCATAGTGAACCTATCAAAAGTGCATACCACCTTAAGGGGAACACAGTTTTGAGACTGTCTAATCCTATTTCTTCCCACTTTGGAATCTTAATTAGAAGAGATAAGGAAAAAAAAAAACATCATTTAACTAAATTATTGTCTTGAGTCTGTAGCAAAAGGTATAATCCGCAATTGGGCCAATTAGTGAACCCCATAGTTAGCTATGCTGCAGCGAACAATTTGATTAGATCTGACACCATCCTAGTTCCCACTGTTGTTTTGCCAGGTATGATGGTCAGACTTCAAAGAGCTTGAGGCATCAGCAGGGCAAGGTTTGGAGGCCAGCTTAGGTCCGGTTGTTAATCTCTCTGCTAAAACCACAGCAACTCTCACACAAAACAAGCTTACACGACACAATCATGCGGTATTAAAGTTAGAGTTGAGTCATGCCAATTTGCCTTTGATTTTTTGATGATTGACCAAAGATGGCTACATGACTAGACATATGCTAAAAGTATACTGATTAGGTAATTTCCCAAAATATTTGAAGTATTTTTTAACTTCCTATATAAAT